GTTTTGTTGGTTTGTGCTTTCTTAGTTTCTTTCTCTGATAGATTGATCCACCGACCCTATCTTTGTATGCGCCTCTCTTTTATTGTGGGGGGAGGGGGGGAGACATGCACACGCCCAAGAGCATATGCTTTATTACTTTACATCTTTTGTCCCTTTTTCTTTTCTAGTGGTATTTATTTTTAGGACAATGTTTATTTTTAGGACAAGTAGCGGTTGTTGAATTAAAAATAAAATAAAATAAAACTTTCTTGTAAGTTCCTTGTCAATGTTCATACGTCCTAATCTCTAACAGTGCTTTAGAATTTCTCAACTCCCTTCTTCTGTCTTGTTGTTTCTTGGACATGATCCTTGGACACACTTTTAATGTAAATGATTGATTTAAGATTTAAGGTTATGGATTGCATGTGCTTAAATAATATTTTTAATATTTGACAAGCTACACCATCTATATGTCCACGTGGATTCAACGGTTTAGATTAATGTATTCTCCACAAAACATGATAGATAATATGTTTAGGATGCTTAAAAATCTATCTTTTCTCCCAATATTCTTTTCAACTCTCTCACACTAGGTGAGTTACTACATCATCTAATAAAAATAGAAAAAAATTACATCGCTTCTTATATGTAATGAGTTATTTTTGCTTATAATTTCGACATTCGATACGTATCCATAAACTTTTGTTTTTGTACTCCCTGTAATATATCTTTTGATAAAGAAAGAACATGATCCTCCAACAAGTGAAAACGCACAAGATGTCACCATCTCAGAGCATATGAATGTTTTGGGGATGGTAGATTTTGATTCGGACAGAGTGTAAACAGATACATAAGAAAGAAAGAGGCCAAAGGGACAGTTCTTAATTATATTTTTATGTTTGCAAAACAGGCCAAATTTACCAATTGATTGGCTCTTTCAGTTGCTATGAGATCCTATTGACCGACAATTCTACTTGGTGTTTGAGTTTATCTGTCTTAAAAATTAGTCTTTAGCCATAGTTTATTGTTAATAGTTAATCATGGAACCTCTAATGACACCCTTTAAATCATTGAAAAGGTTTACTGTAGTATTTATTATTATTTATAATTATATATATTTTTTTAATTATAAAAATTATATTGTCGTTGTGACAGCATTACCAAACAAAAGAAATCAATAATTAGAGGCAGAGAATGTGGTGGAGGCAAGCAAAGTAGTGTGGATTTCTTTGGCACTTGGGTCCTACAGTGTGTGTTGGAAGCAAAATATTAAGCTTGTGGTTATGGACTTAATTTAATAATAATAATAATAATCATAAGCAAGAGCATTTCCAAGAAGGAATTAGAATATTCTTTAAACAAATACAACGTTACTAATTAAGGATTAAGGGCAAGCGAAAAGCCCTATCCTCCTACCTAGGGTTTAAAAATGAGGCAGTAGAGTGAGTGTAGAGGGTTCTAATCTGATAGGCCAAGTCAAGGATCTAGCTTTGCTTCATGTCCATGCAATCAGAAGATTAAAAGTGAATTGGCAGAGAGGCAATAATTTCCCATTAACAACAAAACAAAACACCAAACGTTAATCATTAAGGAAAGTCTAAACACACACGTCAAGTCTGTCCCAATATCATCTTTCGTTTTTTTGTATTTTTAGGTGCGCATTATTACCTTGATGATTTAGGTCACAACCCTAATGATTTTCCTTGCGGGGTCCGGAATTATGTCAGGTACAATAGTTTCTGCAATTTGCACCACATAATCTGTGGTCTTATTATTTAACTCCAAAAAAGAGCTAGAGGTCCAAAACCCAGTTTCGTTTGGCCCATACCCATGACCCAAGTTTCTTTTTTACGACCCAAGTCCTATTTTAACAGAGGCCCAAACTTTTTTGTAATTAAAATTTTAATAAAAAGAAAAAGAAATAGTTATTTGAATAATTGAATCAAACCTAGAACCTCGTATGCGAAGGATGAGCCACACGATCTTCGACACTTGGGGAATAGCTCTAAATAAATGGTTCCCCGAGAAACCATAAAGGCTTGGATGGCTATTGACTTTTGGTTGCGCACATTGTGTACAAGGTGGTGGTAGAGGTAGGTAGGCACACAAAATCACTTTATTTCAAAGTCATTTTTCGTTAACTACAGTGACCAAAAATGCACTTTACTCTATGATTAGCTATCTAAATCTTAGATTAAATTTTACATTCACACCCTTTAAACACCACCATATTGCAATCTTCTTATTTTGACAGTGATCAGCTATGTTATCTTGTTTAATTCAAAATCAACTCTTGGTCTCTCTTCCTCTTTTTTTTTTGGCAAGTGAAAAAAGAGAGAGAATAAAACAGGTTTCCTCTCCTCCCCTTGTCTCTATCGTCTGATATTTGCTTGGCCCCCAAGCTGTCAGTTCACTTTTCAAGCGGGTCCCAGATATCCAATACTTTTTTGTCCTTTACTGTTGGGCCCCACTGGACCTGTGCCTTTCTTATGCCTAGTGGTCCCACTGACCTTACAAAGAAAACGGCCACTCTTGACTCGTGACTGCAAAGGAATTCCAATGTCCAAAAATGCTGGGCCGTTTGCATTCAGTCTAATTAACATTTTCTCTATTTGGTCACAAGTCTTTTGTGGGAGAAAAACTTATCTACACGGGGAGAAATTTCAAGTCAATTATGCATTGTCATATGTTCAAATTTTTCGACACAAAGAATGCGTGTGCAATTCTTCTCCTCTTCTTTGTTCAAGCAAAACAGAGAACTACTAATGCTGCACAGTGGAGAGAGACATCTCTGTTGGTCTTGGATTCCTGGGCTTTGTCACTATTCACACTCCCCACACTGCCTTTTTTTCTTCTTCCACGCGTCCCAATGGAAGGACAAAAAGGCCCCTCCTATGTAATTTTGGTTCTGCTTCGTTCCTACTTCCCTAGGCAATGTATTGGTATTGGATACTCTGCTGCTCGACAGCTTCTTGCCATTTTTTTGTTTTGCTTTTTATGCTTTTTATTGGACAGGTTGGTCTTTCTCTAAAAGATACCACTTTTTCTTTGTTCTAGTTTTTACCACTAGAACAAGTCATGTAGGGGAAAACTCAAGTCTTTCACTACACACACATACACAGAGAGAGAGAGAGAGAGAGAGAGAGTTCAAGGCACTGCTCACAGATTCTTCGTCTCTGCAACACCAATGCTGAAGATGGTGTGGTTCATCTTTCACCTTCTTTTCCTCTTTGCTTTGGGTGTAACTGGTAAGCAAAGCTTCAACCAGTTCAAATAAATGTCCCATTTTTTTTGTTAATGTCAAAGTTGTTACTTGTCACTGCCATTTGGGGTGTTCTTTCTCTTTCTCTTCTTCTTTTGCTGTCCTACAACAAAGGCCTCATTCTTGGTTTTTATTTCTCTGCAGGTGAAGGGGAAGAATCTGTTCAACTCATCAACCTCTATGACACAGTCCCTGGGGTACTTCAAGAATCAATTCACTCCGGCCGTCCTCTAGCTGTTTCTGTAAATGCCGGAGAGATCACTGAGATATCAAGCTCAGTTTTAATGGCTGAAAGTTTTCTCAGAACCCATGTTCTGGCTCACTACCCTGCCACTCCCATAACCACCATTGTCGTCGGCAACACTGTTCTGTGCCTGAAAGAGCAAGAGCACAACTTGGGTTTGGTCCTACCAGCACTCAAGAACATTTATCACTCTCTTACAAGGTGGGGTCTTGAGAAAGATATCAAAGTCTCAGCTGCTTTCTCTTCCAGCTGTTTAAACCAAAACTCTGGTTTCTATAGAGAGGATGTAGCTGAGAAATTTGTAAGGCCTCTGCTAGAGTTTCTCCGAGGTACAAACTCAACCTACTCTGTGAACCCACCTCCAAAGTTCTCACCTTTACCTGATGAAACCATGAAGTTGGTGTCTTTTCACTCAGAATCCCTTAAAAAGCTTGGATTTTTGGACCTCACCAAGATCAATGTCATACTCAGCAACCCAGAAGAGAGAAAACCCTGGAGCAGAAAGCTCTCTTCTTTCATGGATTCCAGACCTGTAGACCCATTTCCAGCAAGACCAACCCCACTACCAAAAATCTCTGAACCCCCACTTCACTCTTCTATTGGTTTCTCTGTTCCTGCCAATGTAGCCAAGAAACCTCATCCCCCACAACCCCAAATAGTCTCTCCACCACTCCAAGTGTCTTCCCCACAACCCCAAATAGCCTCACCACCATCACCACAAATGCCTTCCCCAAAAGCCCAAGTAGCCTCACCACCATCACCAAAAATGCCTTCCCCAGAAACCCAAATAGCCTCTCCACCCTCCATGTCTTTCTCTTCAGCTCCAGAAAACCCTCCTGTTGCTGATCAAGCCCCTCCACCTTCTCCTTTCACATTGCCCCCATGTAACCCAAGACATGATGCAGGGGCCCCAGCCCCTCAAGTGGGAGTGGTGCATAACAAGCTGTGGTGTGTGGCTAAGCCTACTGTTCCTGCAGACACTCTGCAGGCGGCAATGGACTATGCTTGCGGAGATGGTGGTGCCGATTGCAATGCGATTATGCCGGATGGCAACTGTTACAGTCCTGATTCTGTTGTAGCCCATGCCTCCTATGCCTTCAATAGCTACTGGCAGAAGAACAAGAGGAATGGAGGGACTTGCAGTTTTGGTGGGACTGCCATGTTAATCAACAACGACCCAAGTAAGACTTTTCCTTGTTGAATGGTTTGTGATTTTCCTCTTTTGCAAGCTTGCTTATATGGAGGATTGTTTTTTAATTGCAGGTTATCTTCAGTGTCGTTTTGTTCTCACATGAATGCATTAGGAGGGGCAACTCACTCAGACTGTTGGCTGCTTTTCCACGATAGGACTTGAATTTTAGGAAATCTGATTCTAAGGTGACCTTGTAATTTTGTAACCCTTGGATTTTGATACTAGTTTAACAGTCTGGATTTGAAGAAAAATTATTTAGTTCACAGTAGTCATCTGGTATCTATGCACAATTTAGCAGTCTGGATTTGAAGAAAAATTATTTAGTTCACAGTAGCCATCTGGTATCTATGCACAATAGGCAGACTCTTTTGACTTGTAATCCTTGATATGTAACCCTCTTCTTGCTATAATCAGAGATGCAGCTTATGTGTTCATTGTTAGAAGCACTAACAGAACCTAATCACTGATATGGTTTGACCACTTCTGAAATTATTGAGGTGATCAACCAAGGATAAACCAAAGCATACTAAGAAGCTGGAAGAGCTTAATGAAAACTTATGTGGCACAACAACAACAAAATCAATTATAAGGTCACTGATGCTGCTATAAGTGGCCTGACAAATTGAACAAAATTGGTGCAGCAGAAAAAAAGAAGGAAGAGATTATATTTATCATTAGGGATTTTATCAATCATTAGTCTCTAAGACAATTGATTTAAGCAAGAGAGTGTACAATGTGCACTGTACAGATACAGAAACCAGAATCATCTGAGCGTGATGTAAATTTTTGGATCTTGAACCCTCAATGTGGGATCTGACTCGTCCCATTCGCTCTCCACGACAATTTGATCAATCAAAACTTTGCTTAAGTAGTAAAGGGAGGTGCGGCATATTTACAGTCACCTGAGAATGTGAAAACAGAACTTGCAAGTCATCTGCATTCTTCATTGTTAGTAGTAGTGACTATTGCAGTGGAGTTTCCAATTTCACCATCATCTGAAACTTTACTGGGATCTTCATTCTGCAAAAATGCACAGAGATCAGACAAACCAACAGGCAAAAAAGAAATGCATAAATCAAAGTAACTGCCAAGACTAAAACAACAGCATTCACTTACTTAAGGAAGAGGTAAAATAGGCAAAAAGCAACTTGAACCTTACATGCTGACTAAACAACAAACTATGTGTTCAAATACCAAAAGCAAAAATAAACAAAAAGAACTACTGGTTTTTCTCCACCACAATTGCAATCACGAATTTGTCAGAGGTTGATCATACACCACAAGGTTGCCGCTAGCCAGACATCAAAGGTTGCTGATATATTTGGTTTATATCAGTTATTTCTGAGTCCCTAAAATTTTATTGCGTTCCTCTTTGATATGTAAGAAATCCACTCAAAATCAAAATGTGACCACTCTCCAAGCAACACTGTGTAACCACAGGCTATCACCAGCATTGCCAACCATTACGAATTCCAAAAATAATTTATGGATATGCTCATGATATCCCTTTTACAGCCTTACTATTGGTTCCCTTATGAAGAGAGTAAAATAAAATAGATGAACAATTCAGAAAATTCAGAAAATTTAAAATAGTTGGTCCAAATCCAGGCAATCATGTAAACGAAACCACAAAAAGATAGAACTGAGAAAGAACTGACCTTTTTAACTTTACCATGAGCTGACATGATCTCATAGAACTTGCGCATCAGCATTTCTTCTTCTACCTGCAAATTGTACATCTAGAATCTTCAGTACCACAGTATATCAATACCATCTAGCATCTGCAGATTGTACATCATACTTTCCCATATGAACATACGTGCATATTTTAATTTTAATTTTAGACTCAGCACATGATCATAAAACTAACTGAGGAATTAAGGGACTACCTTCAACTGATGCAATTCTTCAGACATTGATATTTTGGCTTCCTTAAGGAGCTCACTTTGCTTCTCCAAATGCCTATATACAGAAAATAAAACAAACAAAATTACAAAAACATGTAACTAATATTCATACAAAAAAATCAATTGAAAAGACTTACTTCAATATCTCTCCTGTGTATCTAGGGTCCATTAGAGTTAATAATCTGAAATCCTAGGCGCTAATCTGAGCTTCGGATGAAGATTGTGATTCAGGCTCCTTTTGGTACGTCGGTCTCAACTGGGTTATACTATTGAACAGAAGTACTTTAGTGCAGTCCTGTAAACACCAATTAAGCAAAGAAAGAAAAACCTGAAACAGATTCAAACGAAAAGCAAAGTAAAAAGCAATGTTCGAAAAATCGCTAGGCGGTAGGAGCTGCGCATATCAAAATTTGCAAAAACAAAACATGAGCTTTCGTCCAAAGTATTATGATTTGAACGAAAAAGAAAGAAAAAGAAAAATATGGGAACTGCACATATCATCAAACTGTTTCCATTGAAAGAGAAAACGAAGGAAACTCAGAATTTGCACCGACGAAAAAAATTACAAGTTTGTACGGAAACATCCATATCAGAATTTGCACAACAAAATAAAAAAAATATTATACAAATTAATCATGTAAAATGGAAAATTTCCATGAAATCTGAAACTCACCAGCAGATGGCACCAATGCAACTCAACGGCGGCTCAAGAGGGTCGACGGCGACGCGGGGAACTCAACGACTGCGCAATTTCATCAGAATTAATCGGAGAGGCCGCTTTGATGGTTGAGAGGGTTTTCGGCTTGCAAACTCAAAGCCTTTCTTTTTTGGACTGAAAAAGGGCCTCTTTTAACTCTTTACGGCTTCCAAATGCTTGGGCCCAAAACAAAAAGAAGGCTTATAAATGCACCCAACAATTTAATCAAACTACACCGATCACCAAATTTTACTTCCAAAATTTTACTTAGGACTCGTTTGGTACGTCGGACAGTACTGACTAATTTATGTCGAATAGTATTAATCTATTTCGGAGAGTTCTAACTGTTTATCCATAATATTATAAGGCGTTTGGTGTTGTTCCGGATAAATAGTCTGACTAAGTTCTAATGTGTTTGAAGCTCTGTCGGATAACATCAGATCATACTATTTTTTTTTAATTCATTAATAATTTAAGTGGAAATTGAAATTCAAATAACACGATTTTTTTTTTGTAAGATTCATATCACAATTGTTTTTTTATTTTTGGGGCCAAATTATTGACAAATCATTTTAGCCATTAGATACATCCAACAGCTGCCTAATACTAAAACAAGAAACCTCTCTCCCGATTCTCTCTTCCCTCTATCTACTTCCTTCATTGTCTTCCTCGCCAGGCCACCACATCATTGATGCAAAACCCCCCAAGTGAAATTTGGAATATGGGATTTTGATCAAAAAATTAATATATAAACAATCTGGAATCTGGCTGAGCTTTGAATTGAAAGCCAATTATATTGACCCATCAATTTAAAAATTAAAATAGGATTGAGAACCAAACTTGTTTGGTTGAGCTTTGAATCGAGACAACATAAATGGAAAAGAATGAATTTCAACACTAAGCAAAGCTGCAAACTTGGGTGTCGAAATTCAAACAAAAAAACCACCACACACAAATTATTGATTTGTGTTTTCCACAAACAATCACCAAATAGCCTCTGAAGAAGATGAAGAGTGAAGAGGAGAAGCATATTGGAGAGAGTATGAGAGAGAGATGGATACCTAGAGAACAATGAAGAGAATAACCATTAGAGAAGGTAGCATAGAAGAACCCTAGGAAGAAGAAGATAAAAATAGTGTCTGATTTTTCACGTGAAAAGTGTGTTCTTTTTTTCCTAGCCTTATAATTAAGCATGTATTATCTAAACCGTGGTGTGTGAGTTGTATTAGTTAGTCAGGTATGGAGAATGTTAAAAGCCAAAACTGTTTAAAATAGTTAGGTAATTACATAATACAAGTTGACACCAAACAATTGACATGGATTATTTACTTATATCTAGAATTTAATACGGTGTACCAAACGAGCCCTAGGTGTACTAAAAATAGTATTATGTAATGCTCCCCTTATCACATTTGTATATCACATTATATGGCAGATAAGCCCATCGATTAAAATTAATTTAATATTTTCTTTTATTTTATGATTTATTGACATTTTTTAATTGATGTGGCTATACACCATATCTGCCAAGGGAGATGTCAAATATCAAATATTAAATTTGAATTCGTAGGCTTATGTGATAATTTGACATATAATAGAGTTTTGCATTCCACCCGACATGTCAAATTAAAATATTACTTTTTGCTCATCACTTTAACCCAAGGTGTACTATCATCACCCTTCTCAACACTTGACATGTGTCCATGAGCATACCAATGGTTCCACAAATACAAAGCAAAAAGTTATGGCTAGACTCGTAGACATGTGTCAAGTGTTGAAAAGGATGATGATGACACACCTTGAATTAAAGTTGTGTGAAAAAATATTTCCATTGGATTATTACTTTTTAGGCACATTAATTGAAAAATTATAATAAAATAATAAAATAACATCACAAAGTCAAACAACCAAAAATAATAGCATGAGAGACAAATGTTATATTCTACGGAGGATATAACATGGTTGGAGTGAGTTTCAACTATTTTTTCTACATGCTAAAAATGTCAAGTTGGAGAGGGAGATTTTTTTTTTTTTTTTAGTACAAGTGATAGTCTAAATTACACGGACAAGAATCTCACACACACGTGCACAACTAAGATATCATGGGATTCGAACCTGAGTCCTTTAGTATGCAAGTTAAGGCCGTTTTCCATTGGGAGAGAATGATGATCTTAAGTCAACTATTTATCATGTTTTAGATCAAGATTCAATTAATGCTTGGGTAATTCAATTTCAAATTACAGAGACGAGACCAATAGGTTTTGCAATTCTGTACTTTAATAAGAGAACAAAACCATGTTCATGTTCTTGGTTAGTACTTTGGCACTCGACAAAAGCTATAAAGCTAAAAATGAAAGCCTAACTTTCAGGACTTGGACCACACCTGCAAAAGTTCAGCAGCACAGAGTGCTTTAACGCTTAATTAAGGTTATTTGATGTAAAGCAACTAAGTAACCAATAATAATAAAAGAATCATGTTGTATTTTCCTCATGGGTTACTTCAAACTTCAATAGGAGAGCTGCAAATATTCTATTCAAGAATTTTCCCATACAGATTCCATTTGTATTCTTTTCACTTTTCCTTTATTACATTCTCTACGCGCATGCTTTCAGCACATAACAAAAGCCTAGCTGGGCCCTCTTCCTCTTGTCACCATCCTGTCCTGTCCTGATATAATATACACATATAACTTAAATTGACAGACTTTTACGTATCAGTCATTAGATGGTTGAGATTGCACTGTGATACCGATATAAAATCTAAATGGTTCACATGCAAGTTGTTAATTAGCATGATTCATCCAACAAAGTTCTTTTTTTTGGGGGTT